ACTAAAGTTAGTAGGGAGCACATGCGAGGAGGAGAGGAGAGCGAACAAAGAGAGGTATAAGGTAGCTAGGAAGGAGGCGAAGCTGGCGGTCACGTAGGCTAAGATTGTGGCTTTTGATCGTCTGTACGAGGAATGGGGGGGGGGAAGGTAGGGAGAAGAAGTTATTTTGGCTAGCCAAGGCAAGAGAGAGGAAGGCTCGAAATTTGGACTAAGTGAGGTGCATCAAAGACGAGGACGGTAGAGTATTGATGGGAGAGGCCCATATTTAGCGGAGATGGTAGACTACTTTCATAAACTTCTAAATAAAGAAGGAGATCAGGATACTATGCTAGGCGAATTGGGGCATTCCAAAAGTTACTATAACTTTAGGTACTATAGGTGCATCAAGGTTGAGGAGGTTGTTGGGGCTATGTGTAAGATGAGTAGAGGCAGAGAAACCAGGCCAGACAAATTTCTAGTAGAATTTTGGAGGTATGTGGGTAGATCAGGTTTGGAGTGGCTGATTGGCCTTTTTAATGTTATGTTCAGGATGAAGAGGATGTTGGATGAGTGGAGGTAGAGTACGATGGTTCCATTGTACAAAAACAAAGGTGATATTCAGAGTTGTAACAACTATATGAGTATCAAATTACTAAGTCATATCATGAAAGTTTGGGAGAGTGTGGTAGAAGTGAAGGTAAGGAGGATGGTGACTATATCCGACAACCAGTTTGGATTCATGTCAGGTCGTTCTACTATGGAAGATATCCACCTTCTTAGGAGGTTGGTGGAACAGTACATGGATAGGAAGAAGGATCTGTACATGATATTTATTGATCTAGAGAGATTTTTTGGAGATGCCTGACGGCAAAAGGTGTGCCGGTTGCTTACATTAGGACGATTAAGGACATATATGATGTAGCTAAGACTCGGGTTAGGACAGTGGGAGGAGACTCGGAGCATCTTCCAATTGTTATGGGGTTGCACGAAGGATCTGCACTCAGTCCATTCTTATTTGCCCTGGTAATGGACCCACGAACACACCATATTCAAGGGAGGTGTCATGGTATATGTTATTCGATGATGACATAGTTCGGATTGATATGATGCGAGGAGGCGTTAACGAGAGGCTGGAGGTTTGGAGACAGGCCCTTGATTCTAAGGGTTTCAAGTTGAGTAGGACTAAGACGGAATACCTGGACTATAAGTTCAGCGTCGAACCGAGGAAACCGGGCATGGACGTGAGGCTTGAATCACATGTCATCCCCAAGAAAGGCAATTTCAAGTACCTTGGATCGGTTATCCAGGGGGATGGGGAGATCGATGAGGATATCACACACCGTATAAGGGTGGGGTGGATGAAATTGAGGTTAGCATCTGGAGTCTTATGTGACAAGAAAATGCCAGAGATACTCAAAGGTAAGTTTTATAGAGCGGTGGTTAGACTAGCCATGTTGTATTGAGCTGAGTGTTGGCCAGTTAATAACTCACATATTTAGAAGATGAAAGTAGCATAAATGAGGATGTTGAGGTGGATATGCAGGCACACTAGGATAGATAAGATTAGGAATGAGGATATTCGGAAGAAGGTGGGTGTGGCTCCCATGGATGACAAAATACGGGAAGCGAGGCTAAAATGGTTCGGGCACGTACAGAAGAGAAGCCCAGATTCCTTGGTAAGGAGGTGTGAGCGGTTGCCTTTGGTAGGTTCGAGAAGAGGAAGAGGGTGGCCTAAGAAGTATTGGGTAGAGGTGATCAAGCAGGACATGGCGTGGCTTCAGATGTTCAAGGACATGGTCATTGATAGGAAGCTGTGGAGATCGAGCATTAGGGTTGTATGTTAAGAGGTAGTTGAGCATATTCCTACTGCGTACTAGTGTAAGACTAGTCTGATAGGATTTTGTCCTAGACTGCTAGTAGTTAACGTTATGTTCACACTACTCTTCCATTTTTCATAGTGTCGGGCCTTAATTATTTACTGGTTATTATTTTTGTTTTTCATATATTTTTTGGTTCTTATGATGTTGTTATTATTTCTATGGTTTCTATTGACGGAACTAATATATTGTCTCTTTTCGTCTTCTTGAGCCGAGGGTCTATCCAAAACAGCCTCTCTATTCCCTCGGGATAATGGTAAGGTCTACGTACTCACTACCCATGCCAGATCCTACTTGTGGACTTTTACTGGGTCATCGTTGTATGGGTCCAAATTTGGACGACCACGACCATTGACGATTACGACAAATGACAAGATCTTTGCAGCTTGACGTCCTGTGGAGGACGGCAGATAAGTGAACAGAGACTGCATGACTTTTACAGTAGTGTAGGTCCAATAGGGAGCACTAGGAATATTTTTTGAATATTCCATATAATATGTCTTTTAGGTTCAGAAGGGGTTTGTCCCTTATATATAGCGGGAAAACAACCTTGTAAGGGGGCCTCTTTGCCTTTTTAGCTAAGAACACTGACTGTAATACTTTTCTACATAAATGATTAGCATCCTTAATGTTCGATCACTCATCTGGGCAAGATCAAGAAATATTGTCCACTGTGTTCATCTTTTATACCTTTTGTTCTGGCGTTTATTATACTTAGCTAAGATTTACCCCTTCATTTTCTTTAATTGATTTATTCAAAAAGGTTCCAATATCTTTTGCGTCAAACAATTTGGCGCCATCTGTGAGGATTTCTATAGCTGAGATTTAGTTTCGTCTAGATCCTTGAAAGGGATAATCACCTCTTCATAGCCTCGCAAAGACCAACAATGGCAGGAAAGGGGGAAGCAATATTAAAGGTAATAGTAGGTGTCACGAACAACCTTTTGGATTCCATCAACGNAGGGAAACCTTAATATCCGTAGTAGGAGAAGCACCACCGGCTGTGAAAAAGCTATTAGAAGAGTGGTTGACAAACACCTCGAGCAACATACTCGACAAACTCGTTCAAAGGGATATCGGAGGCACAATACATGCAGAAATCGCAATTGTCGCCGATGAGCTGGAAACTCCACGCACCGGTAACACTCATACTGTCATTGATGCAGTTAACAATGCACTTGCAGCCATCTTAAAGAAAATGGAAGAAATGGAAAACAAGAACAAAACACTCCGTGATTAGATGAAGGAGTAACAGGAAAGGGTCGATAAAATACCGGGCGCTCCAAAGTTACTGCCAAAACATGATGTAGGCCGATTCGTCGAGCAACCATATAGTGAAGGGTTAGCTCCACACTCTATTCCAACAACCTTCAAAATGCCTCCATACTTGAAAATATATGATGGCTCCATGGACCTGGAAGATCACATAATCCACTATGTCATTGCAGTAAAAGGCAATGATCTGTCAAAAGAACAAGTGTCATTGGTGCTGCTGAAAAAGTTCGGTGAAACCCTGATAGGGGGAGCGCTGACGTGGTATTCCCAACTATCGGCATGGTATATAAATTCGTCACCGCTCATGCGGGAGCGAAAAAAGCAGAAGCTAGGGTAAATGACATATTCACCGTTAGGCAGACGACAGGCAAGGGACTTTGGGATTTCCTAGCCCGATTCAACAGGGTAAGAATGAGCCTACCAAACGTATCAAAAGGGATGGCGGTAGCAACCTTCCAAAATGGGATAAATAGGAAAGGGTCGAAAGCAACCAAAAAGCTGCTAAGTAGACTCATGAAGTACTCTCCCACCACGTGGGAAGAAATCCATAATGCGTATTGTGCTAAAGTAAGGGCAGACGAGGACAACCTAAATGGTACGATCCAACGGCTAACGTCGGTCCAAACCGAAACAAGGAGAGATCGCCGCAACAATGGTTGAAGGGATCAACTATCCCGTTTCAATCGAGAAAGGCATCAGCCCTATATTCGGGCATCCATCTTGCCTCCTCCATGACATGCAGATATCACGCCTCGACACACCGTGCCACACCGAAACGAAAGAGGTATGCCTCCACTGTTATCTGCTCATAACTTTTGCTTTTCTCTTTCAGAAATAGTCGCTGCAAAAGATGAAGTCAGATCCGAGCACCCAGAGATCGAACGTTCTGTGTGAATTCCACCAGGAAAGGGGACACAAGACCGAAGACTGCATAGGTCTGTGACAGGAAATGGTAAGAATGCTAAACTAGAGACACCTGAAAGATATGCTGAGAGATCGAGGACAGGTTAACTTCGCTCGTGGACGCGATCAACCTCAAGGACCCCAAAACCACCTTCACCAGCTCATACCATACAAATGATCATTGGCGGAGGCGATGATACGGTAATCAACCATGTGAAATTCACCGCCACACACAAACTCAAGCGGATAGTCGCTCACAAACAGTACGACAACCTCGAAAATAGTATCATCTTCGATAAGTCAAATACAACGGTTTGTCTTTCCCTCACTATGATGCTTTAGTTATAAATTTACGTATCGCAGATACTGATGTAAAAAGAATAATGGTGGATGACGGAAGCGGCGCGTGTATTATTCATCCACGAGTCCTCATACAGACGAGACTCGAGGATAAGATATTACCGCGCTGCATAACACTAACGGGTTTTAATAATGCAGTGGAACGAACCTCTAGAGAGATAATGCTACCCGTTCTTGTAGGAGGACTCACTCTGGAAACGACGTTTCACATCATGAACCAGGAAACAGCCTACAATGCTATCATAGGGCGTCCATGGATTTCCTACCCCATGGGGAATATTCAGCATCTGGGGCGAGCAACGCACCGCCCAAGAATGCTACCGAATCGCCCAAGATTGCACACACACCCTACAACTAAAGGGGGCAAGTGCGGAAGCATAACAATCAGCCATATCGGGAACCAAACCCGACATACAAATAGAGGCCATCAAAGACCCCGATGTCGTAGAAACCTGCAACGCAACCATAGAATACCTCGACCTTGTTCAATTGGACAATACCGATAGCACGAAAAAAGCTTATATCGGACACAACCTCTCAGAACCAGGTAAGTTCCATGAGTTCTTAACTAACAATGCCAATTTGTTTGCCTTTTCCCATTCAGATATGCCGGGAATCCCAAGGGACATCGCCATACACAAGCTGAATGTGGATCCTCTTTACCCGCCAATATGGAAAATGAGAAGAAATTTCAATGCTGCAATCAACGAGGTAGTCAGCGAAGAAGTTGATAAGTTGCTCGCTAATGGTTCCATTCGAGAATCAAAGTATCCTCAGTGGGTCGCCAATGTGGTCATGGTAAAAAAGAAGAATGGGAAGTGGAGGATGTGTGTCGACTTCACCGACCTGAACAAAGCATGCCCAAAAGATTCCTTTCCATTACCATATATCGATCAGCTCATCGATGCAACGGCGGGGCACGAACTATTAAGCTTCTTAGACGCCTTTTCTGGTTACAACCAAATTCTAATGGCAAAAGAAGACCAAGAACATACCACTTTCATCACTCACCAAGGAACATACTGCTACAGAGTCATGCTGTTCAGACTCAAGAACGCAAGGGCGACGTATCAAAGGTTAGTAAGCAAGATATTCGAAGAACAACTCGGAAAGACTATGGAGGTCTACATTGACGACATGCTAGTGAAGTCGAAAAGGAAGGAGGATCACATTGGTCATCTGAAGGAAGTCTTCGAAATATGGAGGCGATACGAAATAAAATAGAATCCCGATAAATGTACCTTTGGCGTAACCTCGGGAAAGTTCCTCGGATTTTTGTTGTCGCAAAGGGGTATCGAGGTCAATCCGGATTAGATCAGGGCCATCAAAGGAATACTGGAGACATTAACCAGCAAAAAGCAGGTATAGAAATTGATAGGACGAATAGCCGCCCTGTCGATGTTCATCTCACAATCATCAGATAGATGCCATAAATTTTTCAATGTACTAAGAAAGGATCCTGGGCTACAGTGGAATTCAGAATGCGTTGACGCCTTAAGAAAACTGAAAGCATACCTGTCCTCGCTGCCACTACTCATTAAGGCAGACCCAGGCGAATGCCTCCTGGGTACCTAGCAGTCTCCGAAGTCACGGTAAGTGCAGTTTTGCTCCGCGAAAACAAAGGTACGCAATCTCTAATTTATTATATCAGCAAAACCTTAATTGATGCTGAAACAAGGTACCCCTACCTTGAGAAACTAGATCTGGCATTAGTCGTAGCTTTACGAAATCTTAGACCATATTTTCAATGTCACCCCATAAAAGTGGTGACAACCTTCCCTCTCAGGGGCATCCTACACAAACCCGAACTATCGGGTAAGTTGGCCAAATGGGCCATAGAATTAAGCGAGCACGACATAACATACCAACCGCGAACTGCTATAAAGTCTCAAGTGCTCGCCGATTTCGTCGCCGATTTCAGCGCAGAATTATTGCCTAAAGTAGAGCAAGAGGCGCTCCGTGCTTCCACACATTCCGACCTATGTGTCCTCTACACTGACGGAGCATCTAATGCATCGGTATAGAGACTGGGACTCGTCCTTGAAGTCCCTATAGGCGAAGTAATTCTCCAGTCCATACGGTTCCCCGAGATGACTAACAACGAGGCCAAGTATGAAGCTATAATTGCAGGATTGAAATTAGACCTCAAATATGGCGCTCGACGACTCGTCCTCCATTGCGACTCTCAACTCGTGGTGAACCAAGTCACTAGGACTTTCCAAATCAAATAACAAAGACTACAAAAATACTAGTCAGAAATTCAAAAATTGCTACCCGAATTTGACAAATGCCGCCTCGACCAGATACGTAGGGCGCAGAATATCAAAGCGGACGGTCTTTCCAAGCTAGCGGCGGCCACCAGAAATATCAACAAGGAAAACATGGTCACCCTTCTCCATTCCTCAATAGACCAGGTAGAGGTACATTCTATAAACCTAACATGGGACTAGCGCAACCGTATCGTAACATATTTGCAGGAAGGAACGCTCCCACAAGATAAGAAAAAAGCCAAAAAACTCCGAATATAGGCGGCCAGATAAAACCTCGTAAACTATGATCTTTACAAAAGGACGTTTGGCGTCCCCTTAGCCAAGTGTATTGGGCCAAATCAAACAAGGCGGGTACTAGAAGAAGTACACGAGGGGCACTGCGGTGCCCATACGGGAAACCGTGCCCTCGTCAAATGCCTCACCCGCGTAAGATACTACTGGCCTACCATGAAAAAAGAAGCCGCAGATTACGTCAGGAAATGTGAACAGTGCCAAAAATACGCCCCAATGGCACCAAGAAGAAGAACTCCTGCATTTCGTCACTTTGCCATGGCCATTCATAAAGTGGGGGATGGATATTATCGGACCCCTCCCGGCAGGACGAGGTAAGGTACGCTTCCTTTTGGTTTTAACTAACTATTTTTCTAAATGGGTGGAAGCATGTGCATACACTCAAATACGTGAACAAAAGGTTATCGCGTTCATATGGAAAAATATAATATGATGCTTCAGCATTCCCAAAGAAATCAGTTGTGACAACGGACCTCAGTTCGTCGGAAAGAAAACAACCAATTTTTTGAAAAATGACACATCATGTGAATACTCTCCACACCGTACCATCCCGCCGTCAACGGCCAAGCCGAATCCTCTAATAAAATGATATTGAATATATTAAAAAAGAAGCTCGATGACACCAAGGGGCTATGGCCTGATTTGCTGCCAGAAGTACTATGGGCACATCGCACCACTCCAAAAACTAGCACACGCGAGACGCCATATTCACTAGTCTACGAGACTGACATGGTTATACCCGTCGAAGTCGGAGAACCTAGCCTAATATACTCCAACGAAAGCAGACCAAGTAACAATGAAAGTAGGTGACAAGACCCGGATGAAGCCGAAGAACGAAGAGATATGGCTCACGTAAGAATGGTAGCACAAAAGCAACAAGCAGAAAGGTACTATAACAAGAAGGCCAAAGTACGACCACTCAAGGTCGGAGACTACGTCCTCAAAGCTAAAACACAAGCAGCGAAATATCCTAATGAGGGAAAACTGGGAACAAACTGGGACGGGCCACACAAAATCACGGCGGAAGCAAACAAAGGAGTATTCCAATTAGAGACAATGGAAGGAAAACTACTCCAAAACAATTGGAATGTCGCCATCTCAAATACTTCCACTTCAGAAAAGAGGCGCTGCCCAAGTCGTACTCTTTTTCCCTCATCCGAGTTTTGTCACAATCGGGTTTTCTCGGTGAGGTTTTTAATGAGGCGGCAAGGGAGACGTCTCGAGGTCCGAAGTGTTGTTCATTACCCCGCCCGTCGACGTGATCTCTAGGCCGAGTAACGAAGGGACTAGGTATAGATAGTCAAATCTCCATTATATGTACAAAGTCAACATGTATTTCCTACAGGAATATAATCAAATCTCCAATGTATGAATGAAACTCCAAATGGATAAGGACATCGACAAAAGTATAAGTTCAAATTCATTCAATGGCTAAGGCCATCGACAAAAGTATAAGTTTGACTTTATTCGAACTACGACGGGATACTACTCTGACACCAGCTCAAAAGTAACATCCCAATGGCCAAGGCCATCGACAAACGCATGAGATTGACCTCATTCGAACTACAACGGGATACTACTTTGACGCTAGCTCAAAAGTAACATCCCAATGGCCAAGGCCATCGACAAAAATATTAGTTCGACCACATTCAAACTACGACGGAATATTACTTCGGCGCCAGCTCGAAAGTAACATCCCAATGGCCAAGTCCATCGACAAAAATATGAGTTCGATCTCATTCGTACCACGATGGGATATTACTTCGACGCCAGCTCGAAAGTAACATCCCAATGGCTAAGGCCATCGACAAAGATACAAGTTCGACTTCACTCGAACTATGACGGGATATTGCTTTTATATCAGCTCAAAGGTAACATCCCAAAGGCCATGGCCGTCGCCAAAGAAAAGGGTCTGACATCACCCATATCGACAAAAATATAACAAAGAGTGCCACTGAATCAACAAAACAATTTTTTCATTACGACAAAATATTACCAGCACCTATCTTTACAATGGGCTCAAAGACGCCCTTACAAAAATCCTGAAGCAAAAGTAAGTACAAACCAAAAATTACACATCATCCATGGTAGCATACACATCTTCGTACCAAGAGTCAGACGCAAGACGGTTCACATCATCAGAGTTGATATCATCTTCGTCAGGCATTAGAAGGTCATATCCGCATGCCTCACGAGCTGCCCGAGCTTTGGCACGCATATCCTAAAGTTCTACTTCAGATGCCCTCCTGTCAGCATGAAGAGACTTGTACATATCAAGCTATGCCTCGGCATGAACCCACAGCTCATACAAACGACGAGGCACGATGGGATCGGCCGAAGTACAGGACGTAGAAGGTTGGGAGTGTCGACGCGTGTCCTCCGTTCTCAGTGATGCCACTTGTCCAGTCAACGCGGATAGCTCCACCTCCAACTTCTTAACAAGCCCATCAAGCCCCGCTACCTTAAGAGTGGATGCCTCCTTCTCTTTGGTCAGCTCCGACCTATAGACACAGAGGGTATTTTCCAAGACCGCCGCTTCAGAAATAGCAGTCGCCAATTTATCAGCACTCACACTCAACTCACCCTTGAGCTCGTTAATCTCCACCATCTTCATACCCAATTTGGTAGTAAAACTGGCTATCTTTGCTTACAGGTCAGCATTCTCGGCCATCACCCCTCTACTTAACTTGAGCTCATCTTCCTTCACCTTAAGGGATGCCTCGAGTTCACTATTGCGGGCAACGGTATTCATAAGGTCCTCGTCTCTCTCCCTCAACTCCTCGACCTTGCGCGCCAGCTGATCCTCCCTATGTTTATTAAGCCCTTCACAAAATAGTTGGAAATCGGGGTCCTGATGGTAGATGTCGGCCATCGCACGATGCTTGGTACTATATTCTTGGTATTTATAAGACATATTCCCATAGATGGATGCCCTCTTCCTTTCCCGACGCTCGTACTCGATCTCCACGATAAGGGTCTGGCATAAGAAGAAAAAAATTAAAGCAAAAATATAGGTCGACAATAACAACGCAAACCCAATGACGAAAAGGAAGAGAAAGAAATCTACCCGCAAGGCCATACAACGAAGTTCTGAGACAACTCCATGTCGCTCATTGCTCTAAACGCCTCGATCTTGGGGGCAATACATAAAGGGGCTAAAGCAGACGCCACCTAATCACAATTCGACAACAAGTTGTAGTCCTTAGGGACAACTATATGTCGATCAGAACCCTCTACTCTAACCTCCATATGAGTATGGCATTCTAAAAACTCGCGAACATCCTCTAGGTCAACATCCGAACCCGAGCCTTCGCCCTCGACGCGCAGGCCCCCTCCAACGTTAGACAATACGCCACCCTCAGTGGAGTGCATGGAGCTGCCTCCTGGGTAAACCCCTTCTGTTTGGGGATACCTCCTGCCAAGATGGCATCGGCCATAAACGTGGGCACAGGTGCCGTCTGCGACGCACCCATCCTACTTTTACCAGTGTCCACAGCCACATCCTTCCCAAGCTCCACTCTCCTCCTTTTCCTCAGTAATGACTCATCCCCATTAGAGGATTCGTCAATGAGGTGAGAGGTCGGTACGGAAGAGGCCTCTTCCTTCACGACCATATACCGAGAAGGATATTCCATTTGTATCGGCTGAGCACGACCCCCATGG